ATAAAAACAAGGAAAATGTAGCCCTTGAGAATACTAAACCATAGCCTGTGCTGCTACATGTATGGAAAAAAAAAGATCAAAGCCAGAAAAATAGGTTAAAGTGGTGGCAAATCACTAGTGATGCAGGCAACTGGCAGAAACACACACATATTCTAAACAAAGATAACATTCCAAAGAATGATCTTCTCCAGCTTGCAGTTTCTGCTTATTCTCTCTCACAGTGGCTCGTTTTTTTGTGTATTTTGTAATCTTTGGCTCAAAGCAAAGATTATTGCCCATCACCCTGCAATACAAAGTTAGCTTGATTAGAGAAAATACTTTTCAGTATTTTGTACATTCCTAAATTCCCAGAGCTTTGAACAGTGTCTGACACACAGTCAGCACTCTATAAATGTTTGAAAAGAATGAAGAATAGCTAATGTTTACAGAGGATTTATTACATGCTACACATTATGCTGTGCCCAGTATACATTGTTAATTTAATCATTATAGAAAACTTATGAAAATTGTTACTATTCATATTTTATAGTTTACACTGACCTTTCTGTGCCTTACTTTCCCCATGTATAAAGTAGGGATGAGAGTGGAAGGGGGAAATTCACAATTCTAAAATACAAAAAGCTCTGAGAACTGAAAGTTTTTCAAAAATAATTTGGTAGCAAAACCTTCCCTAAGCTGATCTAATACAATGGTTGTATTAGTTTTCTGTTGCTTCTTTAACAAATCAGCATGAAGCTAGGAACTTAACACAACACAGATTTATTCTCTTACTGTAGGGGAAGTCCAAAGTCCTCTGGAGGCTGTGGTGGAGAATCCATTCTGTTGCTTTCTGCAGCTTTGTAGAAGCTGTTACTTGCTTGGCTGAGGACCACATCATTCTGATCACGCCTGTGGTTAAGTCTTCTGAGACTCCAACTCCCCTCTTTATCTTATTAGGGCCTTTGTGATTACACTGGGCCCATCTGGATAATCCAGGACAAATGGTTCATCTCAAGATCCTGAACATAATTAGACCTGCAATCTCTTTTTGCTACATAAAGTCAGCTATTCACAGATTTTGGGGACTAGGATATATGTATCTTTGGTTGGGAGGGGGAAATTCTGCCTGTTACAAGTAAGATACATGTTCTACTCAATTTTTTGTTTTGTTTTGTGGGGTGGGTATGCCATATCTGGCTGTTAAGCTATCTTATCTTTTATACTCTGAAATAAATCTCAATTCAGAAATGCATATACAGCCAGGGGTGGTAGTATACACCAGTAATCCTAGCACTGCGGGAGGGTGAGGCAGGATGATTGCAAATTCAAGCCCGGTGGACACCTTGGTGAGACCCTCTCTCAAAATCAGAAAATAAAAAGGGTTGGGGAAGTAGTTCAGCGCAAAGGCTCTGAGTTCAGTCCCCAGTTATACACACACATACACACACACGCACATGAGCGCCTATGTGGTGTGGGGGGAAGAAACATACGTGGCTCCAAGAGTTTGGGTAAGGATACAGTACTTCATATATTACTGCCCTGATACAGGTGGTCCTTACCTTGCATGGTTCAATGGCAGCTGAGATTACATCTCAGCCTGGGTCTTTCTAACTGGACCTCTGTGAGGTTTAACTGAGATCAAATGATCTTAAAAGTGTCAGGGTCTAAGTGCTACCAGTCAGGGTGACTGCCTTGCTGCGAGCTTTCAGCAGCAGCAGGTATCTGCAAACCAGGCTTTCCTACCCACTGATAAGTGTCAAAGCCTCCGTTTAGGGCTCTGCTGGGATGAACTCACACAGAGCCCAGAAAGGCGAGCACTCATGAGGAAGAGCCAAGGCTGACGCTGGAGAGTCACCTCAGGGAGCTCTGCCAAGTGGGAATCAGCAAGTCCCATCAGAGACCATGGAAGGTTACTCCAGGAGAAAAGGGCCAGGTGAAGGCATGGCTTAGGACAGGACTGGGGAATCCTCACTTGACCACCTTCTCCACAGACTAGAAGAACTGTGCGCATTTACTGTCATAACTTAAGGCTTTTGTAATGAAAAATTATATTCTAAACCAGAAGGTTACTGAGCCAATCAGCTTATATGAAGAGCCTTAGAAACAAATCTAGCTTTTGACCTAGTGGTTAAATATTTAGGAAATAATGAGAGGCAGACAAAAACTGTAATTCTTTTTTGTTGTTATTGTTTAAGATAAGGACTCACTGTGTAGTTCAGGCTGGCCTTGAACTCACTATGTAGCCTAGGCTGGCCCTGAATTCATAACAATCCTCCTGCCTCAGCTTCCTGAGTGCTGGGATTCCAGGCCTGTGACATCATGACTCGCTAAAAACTACAGATTTAAAAGAAAAAAATTAATAGACAGACGAAGGAAAAAATAAGGCCAATTAATCTGAAGATTTTTTTTCAAGGTTTATGAAAAGTCAATGTTGTTTTCACCTCCACAGTTAACCATTTCAATATTCCTCTCTGTCGTGGGGTGGCGAAATCATCACTTCTTTTGCATTGTTATGGTAACAAGGCTCTCAACACTAAAGGAAATCAAAGTTGCCTTAGAGACACTAGCAGCCTGTAGAAAGGGCAAGCAATCGGTGAGCTGGTAGTGTCATGCTGTTACGGTGCAGCCACTGTGGCCAACAGAAAACCTTCAGATTAGTTCTCGAGGTCTGAGGACAAAGGAAGGGAGGGCACTGTGTTGTCATAAAGTTGGACAAGAGGTGCAGTCCCAAGAAGCAAATCTTCATTCTGTACTGGCAGGTTTGACACAGGACACCTCTCTGCCCCTCTAGCTAGTCATACTGGATGCATTAAAGCTTATTCTGGCAACTACAAAATTGAGCTCACTCCTGATGTCAGATTATATGAATAACTAACAAATGTTCAGAGTCTCATGGTTAAAAATGCTGCCCTAAGCAGCCCATCCATAGGTTTATTAGTTTATTAGTATCCTCTTTCATTGATGTACCAAGATTACAGAGCTGGTCAGACCTGGGATTTAAATCCTCTTTGTCTGATGCCAAATCCTATCATTTGCCTACCACCTCACTGCACCACATATTCAGGATCACGATGAAGCATGTGGAATTTCTCTGCTGTAGGATAGTTGCTTCCCCAACCTTATTACTTAACAAATTACACAAAAGGTGTCTGAAATACAGACTCCGGGGCCTCACTCCTAGAGATTCCAACCCAGAGTGCCATTTGTGAATCTGTATTTTTAAATGGTTGTCTGGAGTCAGGCTTGGAACTAACTGGTGAAATCAAGAGAACTTAGAGGGCTTAGCTTCTGGAGGTGGAAATCAGTGTATTTCCTAACCTACCTGCCTGTTTAAGAATCTGTTGAAATCTATGGATCTCTCCCTAAGAAACACATAAATACATATACATTGTTACATTGGATTTTAGATGGTTGTATTTGCTTCCCATTGCTGCAGTACTCATCTATCACAAATATAGTGCTGGCTTAAAACAACAAAATTTATTATTTTACAGCTCTGAGGGTCAGAAATTAGAAATGGGTCTCATTGGATTCAACTCAGGGTAAATTGGCGCTGTGCTCCTTTCTGGAAACTCTAGGAGATAAGGCATTGTAATGCTTTTCCCAGCTTCTAAACTGCCTGAATTCTTTAGCTCAAGGATCCCTTCCTCCATCTTCAGAGACAACAAGGTCAGTGTAGCTTCCTGTTTCTAGGATCAAATTTCTTTCTCTGATTACAGCCAGGAAAGGTTCTCTCTGATTTTTTTTTCTTTTTTGATACCAGGGATCAAGCCTGGGGGTGCTCTACCATTAAGCTACATCCTATAGCCCCAGCCTCATTAATTTTTTGTATTTTATTTTAAGAAAGGGTCTTGCTGAGTTGCCCAGATAAGTTGCCTTGAACTTGCAATCTTCCTGCCTCAGCCTCCCAAAATGAAGGAGTCTATACTCCCCCATTTCAGCTTGTTCTCTGCTTTTGAGGATTCACGTGGTTAGCCTGGGCTGCCTAGATAAAGCCAGGTCGAATTGCCCATCTGAAAGTCCTTATACTAATCCACTTTGAGTCACAACACAGGCTATAAAGAAAGAGTACGGACATGAGCCCAAGCCCCGGGTTCAATTGTCTGTAAACCCCGCCCCCACCCCCACCCCCAAAAGCAAAGCAAAGGTAGGGAAACTACAATTGTGTGGTCAAACTCCACAGTGAGGAGGACAATCAGTTAAGTGGGAATCTTAAATCTGAATGACTGAATTCAGAGACAGAAGGTAGGGCGATAGCTTAGAAGTCCGGGAAAGGATTTTTTTTCTTTTTGCACTAGCCAGATGAATTGCAATTTACTGGGTATAGTTTGTTTTTGCAAGATGAAGAGGGTTTTGGAGTTGGATGGTGGCGACTGGTTGCACAACAAAAGCGGTTAACTTTCTGTTATGTATGTTCTACCACAATCACACGTTGCTGGACTCCAACCCTTCTGATTCAGCAGGTCTGGAGCAGGACCTGGGATTTGCATTTCTGACAAGTTCAGAGCGATGTCCATGTTGTTGGAACCACACTTGGGAGATCACGGTCCTAGGGGACCAGGGGGATAGGATGGGAGGGCGCTCCCTTCCACGTGACTAATTATTGTTGTTAACCACCACAGCTGGCGCTCCTCCAGCGCTTACCTCTTACGTGTGATTTCACAGCTGCGCCGGGGCAGCGCTGGGCAGGCTAGAGTACATCCTCGTCCTTCACTGGGTTGCTTTGGTCCTTGGTGTGTGTGTGAGACTGTGAGGGAAAGAAAGGCAAAAGCGGAGAGACAGACCCTGCAGGGCCCACACAACGTGTCGGAGCGGAGAGGGTCTCAGCGGCGGGCGCGCGGGGAGGTCCCGGACCAACTCGCCCCCGGGCGGTGCGCAGGGCTCGCGGCCGGCAGGGGGCGCTGGCGAGCTGTCCGCCGCCGCCCGCCTGGGCCGCCCACCCGGGCCGCCCACCTCCGGGCGCGCCTCTCCACAGCGCGGCCCGGCCCGCGAGCCGCTGCCTTCGAGCGCGCAGACCGCTCACCCGGACGCAGGACGCCGCTGCTCGCTGCCCGCTGTGCTGCTCGGCTCACGCGTCCCGCCGGAGCCCGAGCGCACAGCCCGCGCCTCGCGAGCCTCGCGGGGCCGAGGGAGGGCGGCTGCCGGCCGGGGATGGGCGCCGGGGGGCTCTGCGTGCTGCTCCTGGCACTGGTGGCCGCGGGGACCCCGGCGGGCTCCTACAACCTCGACCCGCAGCTCCCTGTGCGCTTCCAGGGCCCCGCCGGCTCCTTCTTCGGCTACGCGGTGCTGGAGCATTTCCACGACAACACGCGCTGGTGAGTGCCCGCCGCTCCGACCCGACCCGGGCCGCCTGGCCAGTCGCCGCCGCCTTTCCGGCCTCCTCCCCGCCGCAGTCCCTGGAGAGCGTTTTAAATGTCTCGGCCCCGAGAGCGCGGCGCGGGGAGCGGGATCCTGGCCCGGCCCCGCCGACGGCCCGGCCCACCGCGCGCCGCTGCGCTCTCCGGACCGCGGGCCCCGGAGCTCCGCGGCTCTTGGGCCGGGTTCGCGACCCATGGCGCGGGTGCCACTGCGTGCAGGAAGCACAGTCACCGGGAGACAGGGGCTCTCTAGAGAGGGGCCCGCGACCCAGGCCTTCTGTGGAAGCCAAGCTGAGAGGCTGCGGCTCCGCGGTGTGCGGGGAAGGAGGGCAGGACCCGCAAGTGACAACGCCAGTGTGGCTGGTTCTTGGGGGCAGCCTGGGCTTCATCTCACACATGCCACCCGGCCCAGAGACACGTGCCAGAAAGCGCAGGAGAGGGACTTAGTTCTGTAGAACTCGAGGAGGAGTTTAGCTGCTCCTGGAGCCCAGAGGAGCGGCCCTGAAGAAAACTCGGGGTGTTTTCCTCATTAAGCATCGCCAGCTAAACTGAACAGAGCTCCAGTGCCCAGCCCGGGAGGAGCCTGAGGAGGTTGCTGCTCTCCTTGGTCTCTTCCTCAGACTTTTTCACAGGAGGAAGAGTTAGACGGCGCGTGCTCCCTCAGTCCCCTCCAGGGTCACGCTTCAGTGTGGGCCGGGTGTGCTGAGGGGTCACCAGGGTGGGCATCTTTGGGGAGGCAGTCAGGACATCTCCATCGGCGATGGGTGTGCTCTGAGCTTAGAGTTATGTGGGAGTCACTGCTCTGAATTGCACAGAGGCTGGTGGAGAAGGGTGGGATGTGGCTGGGGATCCCCATACATTCCAGAAAAGGGAACTTCGCCCAGGCTGCCCAGCTCATTAATATCAGTGTTTAGGAGAGCTCTCTGTGGGAGAACTAGTTTTCAGAATCCTTGTGTAGCTCTTGTCCAGTTCCACGTCCAGCTCCCTGACATTCATCCCTGTTGTTTTAAGACAAGACTGTTTCATCCTGCACTTGCCAAATCGCCTTTTTTAAAAAAAGAGCAGGCTGAACACCTTCCCTGGTGTTCTCCAGACTCCATGTCCACTGTGGGCTTTGGATGTGGTACAAATGCAGCCTGGGGAGGAGCAGTGGGAGAATGCATGCCAGAATCCCAAGCTGAGCTCTGCGGCTGTGTGGCCTTGGCACCCAGAACATGGGAAGAGCGTCAAAAATAGAAGGGCTCCTCTGGGTAGGGGGCCAATGAGGCCGGGGGGTGGGCAGCTGGGTGAACCAGAGTGTCCTGTGCGATCTGCCCGCTGCGGCTGGCTGCTGTGCCCTGCAGTCTTTCACCTTTGGAGGGAGAGGTGCCAGGCCTCTTTGTCACCTGGACTTGGGTGGACCACAGGTTAAAGCTTCCTCAGCTGGAAACAACTGGGTAGAGTCAAGAGCAGACCTGACAGAGAAGAGGTGTGCAGCTCACTTAGTTTTAAAAAGGGAATGAAGAAAAGGCTGGGGATTTAGCTCAGTGGCACTGCACCTGCCTCGTAAATGCAAGGTTCTGAGTTCGATCTCTGTCACACACAGAAAAAGGAATGAAGAAAAGCTGTGTGTGAAGAGATCTGGCAAGTGCAGGACAAGACAGTCTGGCTTTAAACTTGGCACCCAGCTAAACTTTAGGGAGGCACTGAAAGGTGATGTTTGGGCCTGGTCTTGTTGCTAGGAGAGGGGCAGGTATTTCCAGGGTCCTTGGGAACCTTAGCATCTGGGTTGCTGGTCTCAAAAGTGCCCTTCCAGTTGTGATGCTGAGTAGCTGCTCCTTGTACTGGAGGGTTTGTCCCTTTCATATATCCACTGAACTCTACTAAAATCTTTTTGAAGCAGGACCCCCCCCCATTGTCTTTATTTTATTTTATTTTTCTTTCATTGATTTCTGTTCTCTTGCTTTTTTTTTTCTAGTATTTTCTCTTCCCATTCTTGTCTCCCTTCCCTCTTCCTTCCCAAGACCTTGAATGTATTTTCTTCGGATTACGATACCAGTTTTGATGCTGTAGACTTTGAAGCAAGAGACCTCTAACATCTCCTCCTGTCTTTTTTCTTTTCTCTAGAAGCTAGACCTAACTCAGGATGAATGAAATTTAAAGTTTGGGGTCAACTTAAATGTATAAGATTTAAGTGCTGGTTTCGCCGCCTGCTGCACAAGCGCAAGGACCCGAGTTCGAGCCCTGGTACCAAAAAAAAAAAAAGATTTAAGTGCTATGAAAACAGCATCCACAGTCATCTCTACCTTAATTTTCAACTCTGCAGTTGCTGGATTGACGTAATGACTTATTGTTGGTCTCTTACTACTGGGAAATCTCTCTGTATCTTGTACTTCCTAGGCCCATTTGAGGGCCATATAAGTTGTTTTCAGTTATTCACAATTATAAATAACAGCAGGGGTAAGTTTTCTTATAGGTAAATCCTTATGGACATCCTTAATTATTTCCTTTGAATCAATCCCTGGGGTTAGAACTGCAGAGTTAGAGAGGATGGAGGCTTTGAGGCATTCTTTATTGTATTACCAAAGTGCTAGTGAAGTTAAAGTGTGCACTTTAGGGAAATGCATTAATTTATTTAGGCGCAGTGGTTTTGGAGTAGTTTAGCAAAATGCTGCTCTAGAGCATTGAAGAACATATAATCCTATTATGGGGGTGACTTTAAAAAGATCACAAATAGTCAAAATAGAAGAGGAAGGCAAGTGACTTGGACATGAAAAGGAAAAGAAGTGTATCAGAACTTTGACAGGAAAAGATAACTGTTAACCCTTATATCTGTGTCTTTCTTCTGGAAGATTTTTTTGGGTAGCTCCTTAATTATTTTGTGATTGAAGACATTGGCTTCATGCTAATTAGCCACCTACTTTACAGGTTGTCTGTAAGGGTGTGCTGTATATAAGGCATGGAAAGTGCTGGGAGTGGTGGGGAGAGCCCATACCCCAGGTAGCAGAGCTGAGGGTTTCCATGTTGTGTTGGTCAGCTTTGTGCCACAGTAACAGATACCTGAAATTATTGACTTAGAGAAAAGGTTTATTTTGACTCACAGTTTTGGAGATGTCAGGTTTCAGTCCATGGTCTGTTCACTCTATTGCTTCTGGGCCTGAATGGGGGCAGCACATCATGATGGAGCCTGTGGAAGAGCATAGCTGTTCACTTCATGGCCAGGGAGTCAAAAAAGAGAGAGAAAGGAAGGGATCAGGATCCAATTCCCCTCCAAGGACTCCAGTGACCTCCTACTAGGTTTCAGCTTTTAAAGGTTCCACCACTTCTGATGGTGCCAAGCTGGGGACCAATCTTTTAATAAGTGGGCTTTTTGGGGGACATTCCAGACCTGAACCATAGCACATTTTCAGAGATCTCTATGCACACATCACAAAGCATATTGATGTGATCTATGAGTGCAGCTAGCACTACTTTAATCCTATAACTGAGTATTTCTATTAATTCACACACAAACCAAAATTGTCATGACCAGAGGGTGCCAGGCGCCTGCATAAAGAATGGGGTGATCTTGCTTTTCTCAGCCCTGGTGCTAAGTCCCCTCCTGCAGCTATATCATACTGATGACAGAGCCCCAGACCCAGCTTCTCTCAAAGAGCTCATTTGACAGTGCCTCTGTCACCATACCCTGGGCAGTGAGAATTGTCCCCATGGCCCAGGATGTAACTTGATGACACTTGTATCAGTTTGAGTAATTGATTTTTTTTTTTTTTGGTACTGAGGATCGAACTCGGCACCTTGTGCTTGCAAGACAGGCAGCAGAACCACTGAGCTAAATCCCCGGTCCTGTATCAGTTTGGATATAAACATGGAAGTGAATTAGTTTTCCTTTTTCTAATGACATCCAGAGAGTGTCTGCCCACCCAGAGCTCTTATATACCTCCTGCCCCTGTGTCTGATGGCATCCTTTGAACAACAGCAGTAGGTGCCAGGGAACATGGACAAAGCTGATTTCTGTCCCCTTGCCTAGCAGTTCCTCAGCTGCAGAGCCGACAACTGTAACACTCTGTGATATAAATAAATGCAGCCGGGCTGGTGTGCACCCCTCCCCTCCCTGTCTGGCCTAGACGCCCTGGAGTTTGAAGTGGTTGGGTGCACTGACTTCCTTTCTGGCGACATGCTTCCTGCCTCCTCTTCTGGGACATGTCGAGAGGGCTGTGCTCAGGCACAGAGCAAGTGCTTGAAATGGAAGATGCACCAAAGTTTTGCTTTGTGAAGGTTGTCAGAATATCATTCAGCGGGGTGGGGGATTTAGTTCAGTGGTTCTGGTGCCGGCCCCGCAAGCCAAAGGTCCTGAGTTCGATCCCCGGTACCAACCAACCAACCAACAAACAGAATATCATTCAGTGAGGGATAGGAGAAAGTTAGGGCCAAGAGGAACATAGCCTCAATTTGATTTGTATTCGGGTTGAGAATTAAAAGTGTAACCAGCACTGCAAAATAAAACTTTAAACATTAGATTTTTTTTTCCTTTAAAGAAAAGTGACTTCTCTGTACTTCCTCAGGTCTAGGGCATAGCTGGCTATCTGTACTCCACCCAGATGAATAGATAGAATAAAGAAGCCCAATTTCATTTTCTTACACAAAGGAGGGAGAGGTCCACGTCCTGAAAGGGATGGAACTAGCCTGAACATGGGTATTGTTCCATTGTATTCCTTCCTGTACTGTACCTTGCCGTGAAAGACCTTTACCACCTGTATGTGCTGAGATGGTGATTTGAGACAAATGAGCCCTTAGCTTTGAATAGGTGCTTTTTGCTTTTTACCAAAGTAAATGACTTCCTTTGATTTGGTCAGCAGTGAGCAGACAAACCTGAGTGTGTGAACCTGAGTGGCCTGTAACAAAAGAACAAACTACAGGAAGTCCCCAACTTATGAACAAGTTCCGTTCTTGGACAGCCCATAAGGAGGACATGTTCATCA